GAACAAGGACAAGTGAGTAGAGAAGAGAGCAGCTCCCCCAAACCCAGAACTGGATTCTTGGAGGGAGGAAACAGAATTAGCTTTCTAATAACCTTGCCATTTCAATAGTCTATAAGACAAGATATGTAGCTTATGGAATGAGAGGAGAAATCTTAAAGGCATTTCTACTGGGGTATATGTAGGATATGGGACTCAGTGGTTCAGTGGCTAAGATGCTGAGCTTGTCGATCAGAATGGTCGGCAGTTCAGTGGTTCAAATCCCTAGCACCGCATAATGGAGTGAGCTCCTGTTACATGTCCAAGCTTCTGCCAACCTAACAGTTTGAAAGCATGTAAAAATGCAAGTAGAAAAATAGGGACCACTTTGGTGGGAAGGTAACAGCATTCCGTGCACCTTCGGCGTTTAGTCATGCTGGCCACATGACCACGGAGACGTCTTCGGACACCGCTGGCCCTTTGGCTTTGTAACAGAGATGAGCACAACCCCCTAGAGCCAGAAACGACTAGCACATATGTGTAAGGGGAATCTTTACTTTTACCTGTATGTAGTATGGAAGAAGAAATGTGGCAAATCACTTCTTACCTAGGAATATTTAGGAATTGCTATGCCTAGAGATCCACAGCTTCTTTATGCTCATGTCTTCTTGGTTTAAATATATAGTCCACCTGTAAAACAGCAATGTCTAATACTATGTACAATAGAATCTACCTTATTGGGATCCAGTTTGGTCTTATCTACAGGATTGGAACCTTTGATGATTTCCACCATTTCATGCCCAAAACGTTCAGCATAAAACTCCTAAATGGAAAACAAAACAGGACAATTTTGCCAAGGCAAAAAGGTCTGAGATCATTCTGAATACCTCAGTCCATCAAAATGCATATTAACCACATTTCTAGGGACAAGATAATTCAATACTTCCTGTGGGATCAGTTTTCTTATCCCTGGCTTTCCCAGATTTGCTACTCCAATGTGGGGCACCTCTGTATACGTGAAATAAGTTGATATCACCGTCAATGAAGCAGTATGCTTAGTGACAAGTTGTCTCAAACCTACACAATTAAGAAAATATATCCTCTCACTGGCATTGCCCCACCTAAGATCAGGAGAGAAGTAGCAGCAGATACTAAGAGAACCAAGCAAGATAATGACTCTCTGAGCAGACATATGTCCCAGGCTCATTGACTCGGATATAGGAACAGCTTTATGGCAAAAACAGACATTCTTGAGGGTACACAAGAATAAAATTGAATTAAAAGATAGAGGAAGGAGACTATTGAGCAAAGAATAATATTAAACGGAGACATGCCTGAAGGATCTGACCACCCTTATACTATTTGGAGGACCCTGATTAGGCTGAGAGTTGGAGTGTCTACATGTAATACAAATATGTTCAAGTGGAGATTCTCAGCAGATAACAACACCCTATGTGAATATGGAAACACGCAGAGCCTGGCCCATCTGCTGGTATGTCAGCTACTACCAGAAACGTGTACCGATCATGACTTTTTTTCCGCCAATAACAAAGCCAAGAATGACTTCATTCTGGCAGGTTAATGTTTGATCTAGACATGGAACAAGAAGAACAGTCGTAATACCCATTACAATTGCATTCCTTTTAGTTTTCAACTATATCCTATTGGTAAATACTTCGAAAGAACAATTCAACATTTCCAGAAGTTAAATGGAAAGTTGAACAAAATTAATATGAGATTTTGAGCATTTCCAATAACTACCTTTTCTTCTTAAAATTGTGTCCAACAGAAACAAAATATTTTTCTTCATTTAATTATGTTTTATATAATTATATCCAGTGGTGGAATTCAATTTTTTTTACTACCAGTTCTGTGGATGTGGCTTATTTGGTGGGCGTGGCTTGTGATCATGTGACTGGATGGGTGTGGCTTAGTGGTCATGTGACTGGGTGGGCGTGCTTGGTGGTCATGTGACTGGGTGGGCATTGCCAACTCAACGTCACTCACATCAAGGGGTGCCTCACCTGGCCCCTCCCCTCCCAGCCATTCCTTGTCACCCAGCTTCAACTTATCTATAGTTCCGTAAAAATGTTGTTCCCCTTTTTTGACTTTATTATCTGCATACTATAGATGTACTTTCATGGACCACTGAAAGGAGGAAATGGCTCACATGCTTTACTCAAGAGTGTGATAGGCAACAGGCTTTTAAGGGGCTGCCAGAAAGAAAGGGGGACAATGTATTTTCCAAGAAGCAGAATGCAAACAAGAAGCAATGGATGGAAACTGAACAGAGAGAAGCAACCTAAAACTAAGGAGAAACTTCCTGACAGTGAGAACAATTAACCAGTGGAACTGCCTGTCTCCAGAAGTTCTGGGTGCTCAATCACTGGAAGTTTTTAAGAAAAGACTGGACAGCCATTTCTCTGAAATGGCATAGGGTTCACCCCAAGGTCCCTTCTAAGTGTTATTCTGACACCTTTCACAGAAATCCTCCTCAGAGTTTGGCATCCTCAGTTTTCTTGCCTGAGCTGGGGGTTGGACTAAAAGACCTCCAAGGTCCCTTTCAACTCTTGTTAAACACATGTGTATTTTATGCTCTGGACTATTGACATTGAATGCATGTAAACCCTGAAAAATATGTGGTAGCCCTGGGCAAAAGAAAGGCAGAAAAATCACTCGAGGTGTAGGGACAGTGTAAAATATTAACACATGATAAATAATGGAACAATTAAAAATAATAGCACAGAGTTTTATCTCTTTCTCTCTTCCTATTTTTTTTCTTTCTTTCTCTACCTTCCTCCTTCTTTCTTTTTCTTTCCTTCTTTCCTTCTTTCCTTCTTTCTTTCTTTCTTTCTTTCTTTCTTTCTTTCTTTCTTTCTTTCTTTCTTTCTTTCTTTCTCTCTCTCTCTCTCTCTCTCTCTCTCTCTCTCTTACACACACACACACACACACACACACACAGAGAGAGAGAGAGAGAGAGAGAGAGAGCACTTAACAGACAGGCATTTTGGAAGCAGCTCCTTTAAATTTCTCCAAGGCTTGAGTGGATTCTTTTACTTGCAAAAGTGCTCCAAGGCTGGATGTGACCCCACCCCCTCTGTCAGACCGCACTCTTTCTCACTCCCAACACTTTAACTCACACGGGGAAAGCGATACTTTCAGCGTCCATGGAGAAGTTTTTAAAAGACTTGCTTCCAAAATGCATTTCTTTTACATTGCAAAAGTGCTCCAAGGCTCGATTCACCCCCACCCCCTCTGTTAGACCGCACTCTTTCTCACTCCAGGCACTTTACTCACACGGGGAAAGTGATACTTGCAGTGTCCATGCCTTTCTTCCTTTTCCCTGGGGAGAAAGAGGACGTGGGGAACAGAAAGCTAGGACAGCAATCGCAAGTGAGCAACTGGGCGACCGGGTTGGGGGCATGGGCAGCCAAGGATTGCCACTGGTTTGGCAACCCATGCCAAATAACCGCTACCGGTTCGCCCGAATAGGTGCGAACCGGTCGAATAGCACCTCTGATTATATCAGTATAAAAGTTTGAGTAAGTAAGATACATCACTGTCTTACTCCAGGATACGTGATAAGCTTATCTCATACTTCAGTTAAAGCATCCTTCAGGAGGATGAGCATACAAAAAAGATGCAGAAAATTCCCCTTAGGAAGAATTAGATTTTCCCTAAATGTGAGATCTTGCCTAAGAGACCACTCTGTACATTTATGCCACTTCTCATAGTATGTGGTACATTTTCTACAACATCAACAGAGAACCCTTCCCACTCCCCAATCTATTATTTAAAAAAAGGAAGGGAAATACACCAGGATCTTGTCAATATCTTTATCAAATTGTACCTCGTTCATATCTCTTATTTATTCCTATAATTGTTAGAACTACATATTCCCACCCAGGCTACCCAAGATCCCGCAAACATGGGTTCAGGTCAGCAATGAGGCAGAAATGACAATCCATTCCAGTATTCTGCCAAGAGAAAGAAAATAAATATTCATAATCAAAATCATGTCTACATGATAGTAGATGATGAGCCTGCATGCCTGGAAAGTATCCAACAAGCTACTGGGAAAAAGCACAGTGAAAACAAGAGTAGCAGAGTGACAGAGAATTAAAATCAAGTGGCTACTGATGTGCCTAGAGGCAAAATGAAAAATTGATGCTGCCAAGATAGGTAAGCCAGTAATATAACAAGACCTAAGATTGACATAGTAGGTATTAGTGATCCTCAGTTAACTGAAATGGACTGGAGTGGTTGCTTTTCACACCAGAGGAGTACCAAATCATCTATTGTTAACAAGAAAAGAGTAAAAGAAGTTTTTAAAGAAGAGTGCATAAACCAGTGTTGAGACACAACCCCCCAAATTATACAATCCGAATGTGAGCCTAGGCAAGTCTTTCATTACAAGGGTGATTCCAAATCTATGCTCCAATACAGTTTCAGAACAAATGAATATCAAACACCTTTATGCCAATGTAACACACCCAAATTTACCATCCTTTCACAGATGAATGGAACACTAAAATTGGAAAGCAAAATACTAGTAAATTGTGGTCATGATATAAGAAAGGAAAAATATAACAAATCAATGGAATTTTATCTACAAAGTTCTTAGAACACAGAACAGAGAACAATAGGGTTAGAAGAGATCTTGGAGGTCTTTTAGTCCACCCGCTGCAGATTCTATACCATTCCAGACAAATCGTTGTCCAGTCTTTTCTTGAAACCCTCCAGTGATGGAGCACCCAAATCTTGTAGAGATAAACTGTTCCACTAATTAACTGTTCTCACTGTTAGGAAATTTGTCCTTAGTTCTAGGTTGGATCAAATAAATCAACCCCCTCTTCTTTGCAACAACCCCTCAAGTATTGGAAAACAAGTATTGGATACTTGTCTAATTCAGGGGTCGTCAAACTTTTGTACCTCAGGGACCACCAAACTCATAATTTTAAATCCCAGGGACCCACTAATTTGAATTTTGACTGACAATGGCTTGTTGACGTTGGTGGGAGAGAAAGAGAGAGATCTGATCTAACCTCTCTCTCCCTCTCTCTCTCTCTCTCATACACACGCACAAACACACAGAGGCAGGGGTGCAATTCAAATTTCTTAAATGGTTCTCGGGCGTGGCCTAACTTGTGGGTGTTGCTTGTGACTGATTGGGCATGGCTTGTATGTAAACATAAATATTTATGTAAATATTGATTTTTTTATAAAAAAAGAGCAACTTTTACCCAAAATCAGGCAAAGCAGGCAGGCAGATTGAGTTGCTCACAGAATCACAGAATCACAGATTCAGGGATCTATCTTTCTGCCATTGGCTACCTGAGTGTCACATAAAATTTGCTTGCAAGCAAACTCACAAAATTAACTCACAACACACCATGTCTGTAAATATTGATTTTTTTTATTTAAAAAAGAGCAACTTTTACCCAAAATCAGACAAAGCAGGCAGGCAGATTGAGTTGCTCATAGAATCACAGATTCAGAGATTTATCTTTCTGCCATCAGCTACCTGAGTCTGTCACATAAAATTTGCTAGCAAGCAAACTCACAAAATTAACTCACAACACACCATGTCTGTAAATATTGATTTTTTTTATCAAAAAAGAGCAACTTTTACCCAAAATCAGGCAAATCAGGCAGGCAGATTGAGTTGCTCACAGAATCACAGGTTCACTTAGAGATCTGTGTATCTGCCATCAGCTATCTGAGTCTGCACTGAATAATAGAACCTTCAGTCCTAAGGGAGGTTCTATAGATCTAAAGATTAGCTAGAAAGCAAGAAATCCAATGATTTCCTGCTTTCTAGCTAATCTAAATCTCCCGGCACACAGAACAACTGATGGTCGGGAATAAAAAAGGATAAATAGCAACTTAGCCAGCAAGTTTGCTAGGAAAGGAATGAGTGGGCGGGGAGGGTTCCCATGGGCCATGTGGGCTGTGCAGCCTTGTGTTCCTGCGTAGCCTGGATTAATTGCTTTGGGGGGTGCTCTGGGGGTGACATTTCTCTGCGGATCACCAAAATTTTCTCGTGGACCACCAGTGGGCCCTGGACCACCAGTTGGCAACCACTGGTCTAAATTATAGAAGCTTATTCTTATATTCTTATCAAAGTGAGAGCCACTTTGGTGTAGTGGTTAAAGTGCTGGCTTACACAAACAGGAGATGAGTTCTACTCCCACCTTAGGCATGAAAGCCAATTGGGTGACTTTGGGCCAGTCACACACTCTTACCCCAGTCCAATTTGTAGGGTTGTTGTTATGGGGAACATAGGAGGGGGAAGGAGTATTATTTCAGTTCATTGCTTTGAGTTACAATATCTATAAAATAATAAATGTAGGATAAAAACTAATAAATAAATATATTAATAGATTGTATTAATTTAAATAAAACATCAAGTATGTTGATACTACTTCCTAGATAAGAATTTATGGAGATCATCTAGTCTGATCACCATGCATATGCACACTGCACAGTGTATACAGGTAGTCTTTGACTTACAAGCATTCATTTGATGACCGTTCAATATTATGACACTGAAAAAAGTGCCTTATGACTGTTTTTCACACTTATGACCACTGCAGCATCCCTGTGGTCACACAATCAAAATTCAGATGATCGGCAACTGGTTCATATTTATGATGGTTGCAGTGTCTCAGGGTCATGTGATCACCTTTTGTGACCTTCTGACAAGCAAAGTCAATGTGGAAGTCAGATTCACCTAGTAACCGTGTTACTAATTTAATAACTGCAGGGATTCATTTAACTGTAGCAAGAAAGGTGATAAAATGGGACAAAACTCATTTAGCAACAGAAATTTGGGGGTCAATTATGGCTGTAAGTGGAGGACTACTTGTATAGGTTTCTGAAAGCCAAGAATGGAATTTTCTTTTCAGAAAATTCTTACCAAGCCATAGGAGCAAGGCTGTGTGTGCATGCAAATGGTCTAAAGCAGGAATGTCAAACAAAAGGCCCGGCCAGATGCAGCCCATGGGGCCATCCTGGAAAATAGAAGGGGCTGGCCCACGTCGCTTTGGCCCGGTCTACCCAGTTCAAAGAGGAAACATTGGGCAAGCATGGTTTCAGCCCGTCTACCCAGTGTGAAGAGAAAACATGCCAGCAATTTGGGGAGTGACATCAAGCTGGCCACATCCACCCAGTCGGTCACGCCCAACCAATCAGCCATGCTCCCCTGCCGCCCCCACGAGGCCAAGCACAGTCCTGATGTAGCCCTCAATGAAATTAAGTTTGACACCCCTGCTCTAAAGAGACACAATTAGTGCAGGGTTCCTATTCACAATTCAATCTGTTGTCTTTTACATATTCAATCATTATTACATCTCCTTTGAGGATATTTTAGCTCTTACCTCAAGTCGATGAGAAATTTCAGCTAATTTAGTAATAGAAGGTTCTTTGTAGACAAACTCTTGTTCATCCAAGTCTCCAAATTTGCTGCCATAAAAACCAACCCGGAAATATGTTCCAAACATTCTCTAAAACAATCTAAAAGAATGGAGTGAAAAATAAAACAGCAAAGTTAGATCAGTCGTTTTAACTTAACCAAAACATGTCTTACTAACCTGGTTACCTATCCTTTCTCAGGAATTCTTTCTTTGAATCCAGTTTTTATTTATTTATTTAAAACATTTTAGCTACTCATTTTAATAACAACCTTGGGCAGGTAATAATCAATAACATACATCTACAACTAAGCCTGAGCTTGTATTATCCACAAAGAACAATCCAGCTAATCTTGGGATCTTGAAGATACTTTCAGGGACCATCATTTCCCAATAAAAGCCAATCTCTTCCTGCAACCCCGTAAATGGAAAAAGAATATAGCTGGAAAACCTTGGAGGTCTTCTAGTCCACCCCCCTGCTCAATCAGGAGACCCTATACTATCTCAGACAGGTGGCTGTCCAGTCTTTTCTTAAAAACCTCCAGTGATGAGGCACCCACAACTTCTGAAGGCAAGCTGTTCCACGGGTTAATTGTCCTCACTGTTAGGAAATTTCTCCATAATTCCAGGTTGCTTCTATCCTTGATTAGTTTCCAACCATTGTTTCTTCTCTTGCTTTCTGGGACTTTGGAAAATAAGTTGACCCCATGTTTGTGGTTGCCCCTTAAATACTGGAATGCTGCTATCATGCCACCCCTAGTCCTTATTTCTCTAGACTGGCCATACCCAATTCCTGCAACCGTTCTTCATATGTTTTTGTCTTCATGTCTGTAATTATCTTAGTAGCTCTTCTTTGCACTTTTTCCAGACTCTCAACATTTTTTTGTAATGTGGTCACCAAAACTAGATGTAGTATTCCAGGCGTGGTCTTAATAAGGTTTTATAAAGTGGTACCAATGCTTCATGTGATTTTGATTCTATGACTCTCTTTATGCAACCAAGGATTGTATTAGGGTTTTTGGCTGCTGCCGCACACAGTTGGCTCATATTTATGTGGTCGTCCACTAGAACTCTCACAGTTCCTGTTTTTGAGCCAGGTTTCACCTAAACTATATTTGTACCTTTGGTTTTTCCTGCCCGGGTATAAAACCTTGCTTTTTTTTTCCACATTAAATTTCATGTTGTTGGATCCATTGTTCAAGTCTGTCACAATCTTTTTGGATCCTGAGCTTCTGCTGAGTGTTGGCTATTCTTGCCAGCCTAATGCCATCTGCAAATTTGATGAGTCCCCCTTCTATTCCCTCATCTAAGTCATGTATGAAAAAATTGAAGAGCATACAAATCCATCTGATGGTGATGCTGTCTGTCCCACATTTTTCTAGTTTACCAAGAAATAGGTTGTGGTCTACTTTATTGAATCACTTACTGAAGTCTAAATACTGCATACTATGTCCACATCATTTTGCTGGTCTACTAATTTAGTCACTTTGTCAAGGAATGAGGTAAGATTGGTTTGACATGATCTGTTTTTAACAAACCCGTGCTGATTTTTAGTTATAATTTTGTTTCTTGATGTTTGCAGATTTGTTCTTTGATTGTTTTTTCCAATATCTTCCCAGGGATTGATGTTAGGCGGATTGGTCTGTAGTTTCTTGGGTCTGTGCCATCATCCCCTGCACTTTTTTGAAGATGGGAACCACATCAACTTTTTTCTAATCCTTTGTTAGTTCCCTGGTGCTGCAGGATTTTTTTAAAAGATATGATACAATGGTTCTGAGATAACATCTGCCAGCTCCTTCAGGATTCTGGGATGTAATCCATCAGGTCCCAGTGTTTTATATTCATCTTATCATTTTGTTGCTTATTTTAATTTTTATTTCTAGTCTTTTACAATTATGTTTTTGGTAGGTTGGGTTATAGGTTCTTTTTGTGTGAAGACGGGTACAAAGAATGAGTTAAGCAGCTCTGCTTTCTCTTTACTGCCTGTGACTTTCTAGCCCTCTTCTCTCTCTTTAGTGCAGTGGTCGCCAACCGGTGGTCCGTGGCCCACTGGTGGTTCATGAGAAAATTTTGGTGGTCCGCAGAGAAATGTCACCCCCAGAACACCCCCCCAAAGCAATTAATCCAGGCTGCGCAGGAACACAAGGCTGCACAGCCCACATGGCCCATGGGAACCCTCCCCGCCCACTCACTCCTTATCTGGCAAACTTGCTGGCTAAGTTGCTATTTTTCCTCCCCCCCCCCCGACCATCAGCTGTTCTGTGTGCCGGGAGATTTAGATTAGCTAGAAAGCAGGAAATCATTGGATTTCTTGCTTTCTAGCTAATCTTTAGATCTTTAGAACCTCCCTTAGGACTGAAGGTTCTATTATTCAGTGCAGACTCAGATAGCTGATGGCAGAAACACAGATCTCTAAGTGAACCTGTGATTCTGTGAGCAACTCAATTTACCTGCCTGCTTTGCCTGATTTTGGATAAAAGTTGCTCTTTTTTAATAAAAAAATTCAATATTTATATACACAGTGTGTTGTGAGTTAATTTTGTGAGTTTGCTTGCAAGCAAATTTTATGTGACACTCAGGTAGCCAATGGCAGAAAGATAGATCTCTAAATCTGTGATTCTATGAGCAACTCAATCTGCCTGCCTGCTTTGTCTGATTTTGGGTAAAAGTTGCTCTTTAATATAAAAAATTCAATATTTACATAAATATTTATATTTACATACAAGCCATGCCCAACCACTCACATGACCACCAAGCCACACCCACAAGTTAGGCCATGCCCGAGAACAGTTTAAGAAATTTGAATTGCACCCCTGCCTCTGTGTGTTTGTGCGTGTGTGTGTGTATGAGAGAGAGAGAGAGGGAGGGAGAGAGAGAGAGATTAGATCAGATCTCTCTCTTTCTCTCCCACCAACGTCAACAAGCCATCGTCAGTCAAAATTCATATTAGTGGTCCCTGGGATTTAAAATTATGAGTTTGGTGGTTTCCGAGGTACAAAAGGTTGGCGACCCCTGCTTTAGTGGACCAACAGTTTCCTTGACCCTGTTCTTGTTATTTATATATTGAAAGAACCCTTTTTATTATTATTTTTGACTTTTGTTGCAAGTTTTTGTTCATTCTGAAACTTTGCCCTCCTGATTTCATCTTTGCAGATTCAGGCTATTTACTGATATTCTGCTTTACTTACGTCCTTTTTTCAATTTTTTAACTTATCCTTTTTATCTTTCAGTTTATCAGAGTGATTGTTGTGCAACCATGCTTGTTTCTTCTCAGATTTCTTGCTTTTATTTTTCAGTAGTATTATGTTGGACTAGGCTTTTATTATAATATTTTTTACTTTCCCATGCATCTTGAGTTGTTTCCCCCTTTAGGATTTTTATCCACAGTATTTTTCTTAGGCTTGCTCTGAGTTTGTTCAAACCAGTCTTTTAAAGTTTAAGACACTGGTTGGATTATATTTTATATCTTGTGTTTGCATTATATCATGATCACTCTCACCCAAGATTCCAGCAACTTCAAATCCCTCTATTATATCTCTACCTTTTGGATGACTAAATTGTCAGCTAAGTTGTTTAGGAATCTGTTTGATCTCCCACTTGCTGAAGAGTTTATCTCTCAGTTAATATCAGGGTAGTTAAAGTCTCCCATTACTACTGTGGTATGTTTTCTACATACATTTGTTTATTGATTAGCAAAGAGTTTGTCTATTTTTTTCTGCTTGGTTGGGTGGCCTGTAGTATATGCCTATAGCAATGTCATTCTTTTTTCCTTTTATATTGACCCATATGGATTTAGGAGGTTTTCATCCTTGGTTTTATGTATTTCTGTAAAGATGTAGTGATCTTTTATATATAATGCTACTCCACCTCCTCTTTTCTTAGATCTGTTTCTTTTGAATAGTTTGTATCCTTCTATCAGTACATTTCAGTCGTGAGTTTCATTCCACCATGTTTCAGCAATGGCAACTATATCATACCTGCCTTCATATACCTGCCTCAAGTTCACCCTGTTTGTTTCTTAAACTTTGAGCATTAGGCATCCAAGTCCTTTATGGGTCTTGGGTATGTTTCTTATAACTCCTACTTTGTAAGTGGGATTTCCATCCTTCCCATCACTCTCTACTTCACTATATTTTTCTTTTTTTATTTCTTCCTTCTTTTTACTCCCTCCCTAGTCCCTAGGTTGTGAGGACTGCCCCCTCCTGCCTCAATTTTAACTTAAAATTTTGATGAGTCAGTCACTTTCTGACTATATTCTTTCCATTTGGGGGGGCTACAGTCCATCCCCTGCCAGTAGCCCTTCATGTAGGTAATGATCTCTGGTCTAGGAAACTGAAATTCTCTTGACACCAGTTTTTAAGTCAATGGTTCGTTTCTAAAATCCTTTGCTCCTTCATTGGATGTTGTTTTTCTGTTGGAAGTATACATGAAAACACAACTTGTGCTCCTAATTCTTTACCTTTTTTCACTAGCTGTTCGTAATCTCGTTATTGTTTTCAGATTTATTGTTGTGTCATTGATCCGCACATGTAGAAGAAGAAAGGGTCTTCTTCTTAGATCTTTGATTTTTGCTGCATGGAGACAATATACCTCCCTAGTTTGACTGCCTGTCTACAGACTATAGTTTCTGTTCCCCTAAGAATTGACTCTCCTATCACCAATATATATACATATTTTAGGGAAGTCTGGAATACTTTTCTTCCTGTCTCAGGAAAAAAAAAATATTGACAAATGCTCTTTTGTGGGTGCCTGCATATTTTCTTCCAGGGAGACGCTATGAAAGCAATTGTTCAGTTCCAGAGGGACTTCACTGGAGTGGGCTAGGTAAATAGTAAGGGCTTTGCTCTTGGTTGTTGTTTTCTTCTAAGAGTGACGTTTCCATCGGTCTTGCTTTTTAGGTACATATGTAGGCTCGCTTTTTATGGAAGCTGTTTGTTCCCCATTGTGTTCGATTTGGGTGTATCAATTTTCTTATTTATGTTTATGTATGGAGACACATTTTTAGAAGCTGTTTGCTCTGTATTATATTTTATTTTTTGTAATCTTCTTGTTTAGGTTGGGATTCCTCACTTTGCTCATTGAATTTCAGAGTG